TCCCCTGGCTGTAAGCCTTTGATTTGGATTGTCGGTTCAAAGTCTGTGACCTTGTAATAGTAACGACTACGTCCTGGTGGATCTGACTGCATACCAGTGATGAGATCGTCCGAGCTGCTGCTCTCAGCGGAACGTTTGGCACATCTGGATTCCTGGTAGCCTGGGGTGAGGATTGGGTGATTAGCAATAGGAAGTGTTCTAACCCTGGCTGTAAGCCTTTGATTTGGATTGTCGGTTCAAAGTCTGTGACCTTGTAATAGTAACGACTACGTCCTGGTGGATCTGACTGCATACCAGTGATGAGATCGTCCGAGCTGCTGCTCTCAGCGGAACGTTTGGCACATCTGGATTCCTGGTAGCCTGGGGTGAGGATTGGGTGATTAGCAATAGGAAGTGTTCTAACCCAGCACTGGGCTCTGTGGCAAAATGGTTTCCAAGAATCTCAGCGCCTGTCTTCTCAGTGGTTGCAAGAGTGTGAAGCTGAGTGTCCCCAGTCTTTCCGAATACCCAGAGAAAACAAAGCAAACCTTTTCTCCCTTGCCCTTTTCACACAATCCACCCGAGCATTAAGCCCTGAGCCAAAGCCTTTGGCAGGAACGAAAAGGGTTCCGAGGCTTTCGCTCAGCCATCGGTTGGCAGGTTTTCAGAGTCTCCGATTTCACTCCCCGGAGCAGGCTCCAGATGTTGCATCACAGAGTGACTGTGACTCAAGGTGCTTGACTATATTGCTAGGTCGTACCTGATGCTCACCAGGGCGCTTTGCCACAGACCTGACGAGGCAGGCCCTGGGTTTGGTCCAATTGTACATGTCCCAGCCCAGCAAAGCCTCCTTTGAAAGCCAGCTTGGCTGGAGTAAGGACAAGCTCCCCCCCGCCCATCATGCTCATTTCTAAAGGAAGGAACTGACAAGTTAAGGGAACAAACAAGTGTTGCTGTGTCCTAATACCCAACAGTGCACAGAGCGTGCAGACCTGCTGCCTCCTCTAGACACTCCGGCCGCCCTGCGCTGCAGCTCTGGGGCCTTAACACTGGCACCACCAGCAGGCTGGAGCAGGGTGCACTGGGGATGTGATATCAGCCTGGGCTGACAAGCTCCAGGACGCTTGCTGAACCCGTTTCCCAGGGAGGCAAAGGAGATAAGACCCCAGGCCCAAGGAGCAGGCATGAGGGAGGCAGCAATTGTTCCGGTTATGGCCCATCCAGTTCTCATTTCTCCTGCCGTCATCATACACATTGGCCTTGATCCAGTCCCTCCAGTCTTCTCTTCAGGGTAGCTGCCTCCACGCATGGCACCCAGTCTGTGCTCCCAGCACTACTCATTGCCTAGCCAGAGGGGGCGACTTGCACTCATCCCCCCCAGAGATTCCCCAGGAAAGCCACTTGATCCTGTTTGCACGCCCCCTCGACATCGGTGCACATAAAATTCATTCTGCTCGGGGATGGGAAAGTTAGAGGGAACACTGCAGGGACCAGCTTCCTGCCTTCCTAAACTGCCTCCAGGGGGTCTCGGGGACCAGTCGTGGGGAACCAGCAGTGGTCCCGAGGTCCTTTCCAGCTGCATGTTCTGTGCCCAGGGAAACACCCATGTGTAAAACACCCCCCTGCAGAATCAAGTAAATCGACCCTTCTCTGCTCGGGGATGGGAAAGTTAGAGGGAACACTGCAGGGACCAGCTTCCTGCCTTCCTAAACTGCCTCCAGGGGGTCTCGGGGACCAGTCGTGGGGAACCAGCAGTGGTCCCGAGGTCCTTTCCAGCTGCATGTTCTGTGCCCAGGGAAACACCCATGTGTAAAACACCCCCCTGCAGAATCAAGTAAATCGACCCTTCCTTACCGAGGTCCATATCGCAGGCCAGCGCTGCCGCTAGGCTGATCGCATTAGGTCAGGCGCCAGTTCCCATAAAGCCTTCACCACGCCCATCTGGTAGATTATGAGAAACCCGCTCCCGGAAAAAGACAGTGAGATGGGGCTGCCGAAGCCCCTTGCACCTTCTTCAGCCATTGCCTGCCATAAACCTGCTGTTGGCAAAGAGCTCACGAGGGCCGAGAGCACTCAGTGCATGGTGCCTCTTGTCTGTGGCAGAGGCGCAGTCAGCTCTGAGTCCTGAGGCAGCTGCGGGTGTAGGCAGGGCTGGGAGAGATCAGATGAAGTGAGGTTTTTAATCTGATGCTATTCATGCTCCCAGCAGTGGGATTGCTCCATAGCTCAGGAACATGCAGGTTGCTTGGGAAACACAACCCAGACCCTTAGGAAGGAGACACGTGCCCTGCGCGTCGTTTGAGAATATTCTTAACCTCAGTGACAAACTCCACGTGCATTTCCACCTGGCACACAGTGTTACCATTAGTCAGTTTCCTTATCCAGTACATAGGCATCATCTAGAGCAGTGGGGGGCAACCGGCAGCCCATTGGGGTTCTGTGTGCGGCCCAGGAGAGGTTTTGTTACCGTCATCCACATGCAGGGCTGCCGGGTTCCTTTCCTTTCCAGCCACATCGTTGTTCCCTCCCGGGGTTACTAAAGGGACACATGTAAAGCCAGGGTCCATGCAGGGGACGCTGACTGCACCCAGCACTGCCTGGGAGAGCCGGGCACTCCCTCTGCAGCCAATCAGAGCGCTGCTAGGGGTCAGTCGGCACAGCCAGCGCGGCGAGTTAGGGGAAGGGCTCTCGGGTGAGGCCATGTGCCTTC